GCCTGAAACGTTCTTCCCGTTGGTTTTTGAATGTTGTCATTTTAAATGTCTCTTTCTGGCCTTCTTTGTTGTTTTTTAAATTTTGGGGTTGGTATTTTTTTTTTTTTTTTGCTTTGACCTGTTTGACCAAGATGTATTTGAGGCAGTGATGAAGGGAGAACAGACTACATAAATCCCTCTATTGTCAGTACAGAAATTGAAATAGGTTCAGGAATTTCCAGGTGGCCTTGAATAGCTTACGCTTCAGAGTAATAGTCCAGCCAGAAGGGTTATCTAATGCACTATTTTTTTTTTAAATTACTTTTCTCTTTTACTGATAGTAGGCACAGCTATTAACAGGTCCAAATCCAGAGTGTTTTAGCTGGTGTCTTTTGCTCCGGTAGAATGTCATTTTGCCCTGTGAGTTTCATAATTACAAGCACTGCAGAAAATGTGCATTAAAGAGGAGCGTATAGAAAACAAGGGGCTGTTGCGGCACCCTCTCCCTCTCCCTGCGCATTCAGAGTCATGGCTTAGATCTGCCGGCCCATTTCTGATGGCGGAAGAAACCACTTTTGGTAGAGGAGGGGGAGTGATGTCTGTCAGTTCCCACTGCGGATCCACGCTTTGCCCTGGACACATGTTGGTCACAGGGAGAAGAGGCTTGAGAGAGGAAGAAAAGGAGGGGTTTAAGAAAGATGGTGGAAGGGTAAGGGTTAAATATGCCCTCTGGGCCCCCCCCCCCATGCTAGTTTGCGGCTGTTTACACTAGCTCACCCACTCCACCCAGATTCAAGCAGAAGGATATGCCAATCATGTCTAACGTATGTATTTCTCCTTTTTTTCTTGTCCCTCTTTTTCTAGTTGTGGTGGTCTTTGCCTTCGTACTCTGCTGGTTGCCTTTCCACTTAGGACGTTACCTTTTTTCCAAATCCTTCGAGGCCGGATCCTTGGAGATAGCCGTCATCAGCCAGTACTGTAACTTGGTCTCCTTTGTTCTTTTCTACCTGAGCGCCGCCATCAACCCGATCCTGTACAACATCATGTCCAGGAAATACCGGATAGCGGCTTACCGGCTCTTTGGACTCAAGCCGTTCGTGACTAAAAGACTTTCAGAACGCAAGGAGGGTGGCTCTCGCACATGGACAGAATCCAGCATCCGAGCGACATGACAACGGAGGTGGGACTCTTCACCCCGAAAGCCATAAACAAATATTCAGGTGAAAGGATGCTGCATTCTTTCTTTTTTTCATTCTCAGAAATGCCTGGAAATGGAACACAAGGAATGAAAAACAAGCCAAGCAGTGAGGATGTTGGGAAAGAAAATGCAAGCACAGTAACAAACAGCAGAGGTGAAATAACTGCTTTTGGAAGGCATCATTTTGACAGCAGGGATTCTGTAATTAAAGACGCTGGGGAAGGGATCTGGTTTTGCCACAGACAAAAATGCAAATGTGGGAGCTAACAGAACTTGCTTCTGCGCAGGGCTGGTTTTGACCACTAGTCAGATTTAGGAGGCAGCAGTTTTGAGGAAGGACCAACATAAGGGATGTTCCCTGCAGTATATCAGGTGCCATACAAGTACTTCTTGCAAGGATGCGGTGATGCTCCAGGGATCCAAGGAAGGGCTACGAAACCCTATGAGAATACACACTGCTTACTTTCTGTTCCTGTTTGAAAAGTCCCTCCCACCTGAGCGGCAGGACCATAACAAGGGAGGAGGGGCGAGGGCCTTTTATGCCCACCTCTCTTTGGGAAAACTCTTTCTGCCTCACATTGGTCACCCACCACCCAATCAATTTGCTAATCATGCCACATTGGGTGGGGAGGAACCTTAGCATGCAACTGGCAAGGGAACAGGAAATGTGAGCTGTGTGTCTGGGAAAGGAGACGAGGGTTGAGGTTGGAGCATGGGATTGCACCTGCAGCAGACTAGATCCTAGGGGTGTGTGTGTGAAAGTTCAGGAAGCCATGTGGAGAGAAGAGGGGGAATCTAGCTGAATCACTGAGCAGAGAGTGTAAATGAATGGATGACTGAATGAGATCTCACTCAGACTGGACAAGCATGGAGGGGCTGTGGCTCAGTGGTAGAGCATCTGCTTGGCATTCAGAAGGTCCCAGGTTCAATCCCTGATATCTCCAACTGAAAGGACCAGTAAGGAGATGACATGAAAGACCTCTGATGAGATCTGGGAGAAGCACGGCCAGTCTGAGTAGACAGTACTGGGTTAGGAAATACTTGGAGATTTGGGGGTGGAGCTTGAAGAGGGTTGGGTTTGGAGAGGGGAGGGGCCTCGGTATGGTATAATGCCAGAGTCTACCCCAAGGGCGTAGACTTTCCAATTTTCCGGGGGGGGCTGGGGCTGGGCCAGAGGCATTGCTAAGTCATTAAAAGAACTGGGACCCAATGACATCATAGGGAGGAGCTAGTGACATCACAGGCATGGTCATTATCTATGGAGGTGGACCCATGTGGGATTTAGGGATGGGCTCCCCAGAAATTTAGGGAGGCCTGGGAACCGCCCTAGCAATGTCCCTGGGCTGGGCTAACCCCAGGAACAGTTGCCTTCTTAGAACACTGCTTAGAAACTTAGAAAGCCCCACACACACCCCACACTGGAATAAGAACATAATATCAGGCCATACCACATTGCAATAAAGCCCCTACAACTTTATACAGAAATCCTGAGCTTCCCTACCATTTGCCACAACTAGCCCACCACACAAGAAGAAGAAGAAAAGATAGGATTTACACCCCGCCCTTCACTACCCAAGGGAGTCTCAGAGCGGCTTACAAACTCCTTTCCCTTCCCCTCCCCACAACAGACAGACACCCTGTGAGGTGGGTGGGGCTGAGAGAACTCTGACAGAAACTGCTCTTTTTCAAGGACAGCTGTGCCAGAGCTTGTGACTGACCCAAGGTCACATCAGCAGGTGCAAGTGGAGGAGTGGGGAATCAAACCCGGTTCTCCCAGATTAGAGTCCTCACACTTAACCACTACACCAAACCACTACACCAACCAGGATCAAGATTCCTAAGTGGACCAACAGACAGGCATACACTTGTTTGAGAAACTGAGTATTACATTACAACACCTGGAACATTACAGATCAGTAGAGGCAGCACTGCACAGTGGCCATCAAGATCAAAGGGAGGAGAGACCTGTTGTACTATTCAGTTCTTTTTCCCAGTTTTTTTTTTGGGGGGGGAAGGGGGGCGGTACAGGTGCTTCAAGAGGGGTTGATAGAAATGGAGGACAGTTTATGTAGGACTAGGTCTCTCTGGGACCTCTGTCACAGAGTTCACGCTCCTTAGGAAAGTCTACTAGAGTGAGGGGGGGCATTTTGTTTTGGTTTTGTTTCTTGTTCGTTAGAAACTGCAGCCCTTGGAGATGTGGGAGGGGAGTGGATCAGGACCTCAGTGACGTAAAATGCATACAGCCCACTATTCAAAGCAGCCATGTTCTCCAGGAGAACAGATCTCTATTGACTGGAAATCACTCGTACTTCCAGCCAGGAGATCTCCAGGTGCCACCGGGAGGCCGGCAATCTTAATCCCTTGCCTTTCAGAGTCGTTACAGGCGTGGGTAGTTTTATTTTTTAAAAAAAGCAGCAACCCTTACTACAGATTCCAATTTCATATTAAAATGCTTTCCCAATCGAGGCGCTGATTTCTGCCCAGTCTGTTCCCAAGGCCCACCGAATTCCTTCCAACTCTCTGTTGATTTCATGCCAGCGGAAG